TTAATATAGTACCATTGAACAGAATCGTGGATATGGCAATCTTAGTCTCCAGGTTGACAATCTCCCTGGTGGATCAAAATGTTTTGAGTTAGTTTTAAAGTTCTGTTATAGTTGGAAGGTCAATCTTACAGCAACAAATGTTGCTCCACTTTATTGTGCCGCTCATTTCTTGGAAATGAGTTATAATCTTGAACAAGGAAATCTGATTTCCAAAACTGAGGACTTTTTGAGTTATATAATTGTTTCATCGTGAAAAGATACATTTAGAATCTTCAAAAGCTGTGAATCCATCTCTTCCTGGGCCCGAGACTTGTATTTGAATGTTTTGTCTCAAAGCATAAATCAAATGGATACCAACAATTTATCAGATGGGTGGTGGTTTGAAGATATTTCATTTCTTCGAAAGATCATTAATTTGAAGTAATTGAATCAATCAAAAGAAAAAAGGTTCAGCCTAATCTTGTGGGTTCATGTATCACTCACTGGACAATAAAGTGGCTTTCTGAACTTACGTTACGGCACAACAATCTGAATCAAAAAAATCTGACTGTCCAAATGCATAAGGTTACGACTGAATGTTTGATAAAGATACTGCCTGCTGAAACAAATTCGGACCGTTACATTCAAAAATATGGGGCCCACTGTAAAACAATGAAGTCAACAATGGCGGCCTAACGGTTGGAATTCTCATTTTTTTCCTGGAAATAATGCTGCTCAAACCCAGGTTATGTGTGATTGTTTATATGTGTTGTAATTTTCTTTCAGCTGCCTTTTTATCTCACATTAATTCCTACTAAATATCTTTATGAATGTAGGAAGCTCTCTTTGATTATAATGCACCATCTGGTGGATGCACACATTGCGTTACAATGGTCCGAAATAATCAACTTTTTGTGCAAATGCTGGAGACTCCTATTGTGTTCTTTCTCGAGGGGTCAAGTGAAGTTTTCTTTTACTTTCCAAGGGGTAATATTAAATTTTGTTCTTTGAAAATACGCTTAGATTTCTTCCAAAACCTGCTGGTGGACTTCCAGTTTGCCATTAAACTACTGTTGGTAAACTTCTAGGTTTGCGATTAAACTATTTAATTAACTTAGCATTATATTTCTCACCATATTGCATAAGCATGATTTTATCACTACATTTTCGTATAGTAGATAAATGCGAGGCATTTATTATATAAGCCGCTAAAAGTTAAAGAATTTTTGCTTGCAGGTCTATTGTTGACTCTTGCTGGCATAAGAGGTGTAGGAGTTCTGTAAGTGTTGGTTTGATTCAGTGCATCTCATAAAAATACATCATTAAGATTTGAACATTAATTTATGAAATCATAATTTTCTTCTTAACTATTCTAAAGATCGATGTATGGGGTCCCTCAGATCTCAAGTATCTGATTGATGCAATCAAATCAATGTATGAGGATTTATATTTGTATTTCAGTTAAAACTGATTTGTTTAAATTACATATTTGTGTATTATTTATCAATATTTGTTTTGTCGTCTCAGGATCTTGTGCCTGACATTGATGAAACCGTTTCGCCGGGTAATCTTCTCAAGGTATGAACAGTTATCTAAATCCATTAATTTCCTAGAATGACTATAAAAACAACCCTGAAAGGTTTGAGAAAATCATAATTTCCATATTCATTTTGAAAATGACAAAGACATATCAAATTTAATTCCATAAAGGATCAGAAGTTCTCTATGGCCAAAGTTTGGTCTAGCACTACAAACCAATGAGATAATGCGAAAACGAATTCTTTATGTTTTTAGGTTTATTTTGAACGTTTATATATTAAATATTTTTCTTGCTCCACCTTTCATTTATTTTTTTATTTTTTTTTGTTTCAATATTTGGCATTTGATTCCATTCATTTTGCACGGATTGATTATCAAGATAGAGCAAATAGGATGCAGATAAATATGTTGAACTTATATGGTAGGCTTCCAA